ACTCACTCGCACAGGTATGCATTTTAATGCAAAAACTACATATACATATGTACACATACGAGCCTACATACATACATATTTAGATAAAAGATTTGGGCCAGCGAATGTTTGTACATAAATGCAACAAAGTATACAACAATTGGCCGTAAACTCGCAATGCATTGCAACAACTTGCGCCACGAAATGAGATTGCAGTTCAGCTATACAGCGCTGCATTTGGGCGGCAACAACACAAACAACGAACGGACGACAAGAGCTGTCAGCAATATACAAAATGAAATTGTCAAAATTGTCAAATACGAAGTGGCACATATGCTTGCATTACGCTCGTGTGCGTGTATGTGTGTTTGTGTGTGTGTATGCGTAGTTTGTATAGTTACTGCATTTCAAGTCAAACACATACATACATATGTACGAGTACTTTAGATTTTATTTAGTTGCTCTTTTCAAATTTGAATTTCATTTCAGTTTTCCCAATGGAAATATGCAACACAAAAACTTTTTGTGAAAATTATGCAATTTTATAAAATTGAATTTAATTTAAATACGAGTTGAGAGCCAAATGTTAGTAATATGTACTTGTATTGTTAGTTTGCATGGACTTTCAGGCCATCGATTCAGAGTGCAATTACATGATTGCAGCAGCTTATTTAAAAAAACATATACATACACTTACACTTGCATGTTTGTATGTACATTAGATCATATCGCGCTATGTACCTGTATGGAACAGAAATAACACAAAAGATTTAAAAAATGTTTAAAAAAATATTGTTTTCAGCATCCTCAGCATATCGACAACTGAGTGGAAGATTGGCCTATCTCGGCAGCCAGTTCGAAAACGCCCTGTCTCAGAAGCTTTTCAAGAATGCCCTACTTCAGAATTTTATTTAAAAACAACCTATCTAAGAATTTGGTTGAAGGACGCCCTGTCTCAGAATCTATTTCAAAAGGCCCTATATCAACTGAAAATACATCTTCCGCTCAGGTGTCGATATATGATTACCATGTGGCTCAATTAGTATATTACTGAAAGAGTTTTAAAAAAGTTTACGTACAACTATTTTTCTTTATTGTAAGCAGTCGTTTTTGAGTCAATTTTAATGGCGTTAAATGTTTTCAGAAAAAACATTCAAAAGTTGTAAATTTTACGCGATAAATTAATTACCTAATTGTAAATCGCCCGGTCTAATGCCAATATATAAGTATAAACGAAAGTATATGCAAACTAAATTGTCCTATAAACGAGTGCTTTTCATTGTGCAGTTCTGCTCTTCTGATTGGCCTCTTTGCGTCAGAATTAGAAATTCAAATTCCCAGCTGGTGCATATTTTTCAAATTATATTGGAGTCATGCATATTTACAAATGCAGTAAACTATTTTTCCAAGCTTGCAAGTTTGTAAGTAGGTATAGTTTAGGTAAATTTGGGTAAAATTGTATGCAAATATTCACAATGCCGAATGCGTTTGTACATAAATCTGTATGTATAGTAGGGCGGATCGATTTGTAGGGGCCCAAAAAAATTAACAGAGGCACTTCGCGATTATGATTATTTGGGTCATTTCATTTTGCATTTTTGCCCAAGAAACCATAGGTCTAAAATGAATTTCGAGCCAGTGATTTTTTCTATCTAGGTTTTTTTCAAAAAGGGGCTCACCTGTTCAAACAGCTGGCGAGATGGCAATTTTCAGATTTCAGTCAGAAATATACCAGCCTCATACTGGTTCAAAGTAGACAGAAAAATACTAGTCCAATTATGGCCCAAAACCACCACTTTGGGAGTCAAAAATTAATTCATGAATATACAATACAAACGATTGAATAAGTACACTTTAATATATAGCACATTTTTATTTAACTGCCTTAAATTTGCCAATAATTAGTGTTAAATATTTTGAATATTAATTAAAGGAGAAATAAATACATAAATATTTCAAACTTTCGAACATAAATTTAAATGCATTTTCCATTGGATTTTATTAAAAGTAAAAGCCTTCAGGTACAATAAATACTATATTTTTCATATTTTTTAATAATATTAGATATAAAAAAAAACATTTTCATTAAATTAAATCAAATTCATTAACTTTGCTCATATCAGTCCTTTCTTTTTAAAGTTTTATAAAAGTAATAATTAACGCATAAAATTTGAGATTTGGATAAGAATTAAATAAATAAATAATTCATGCAGTTGTTAAATATTCTTGATTTTTGTCTATAGTTTGGCTTGTTGATTGATAACTGAAATTAATCAAATAATTATATTATCTAGTCGTGTATAAAAAAAATTAAAAAATAATTAAAAAATATCAAAAATAACAAAATAATCATGTAATTAAAATTAATGAATTATTTAACAAATTTTTAATTAATTATTAATCATTAAAAAGGTGCTCATATTGGTATTTAACGGTTATCTCAAAAAACATGCTTTAATTAATATTCATTATGATTATTAATCATTATTTAACTGGCATGGTATAATTGCGAGTACGTACTCGCTTTAACGCTTTAAATAAAAATTATAATATTTTGTGCACTCTATTGTATTAAACTGTCGAAGTCAAATAAAACAGAGACATGAATAAATCGTTTTGTACTTGGTGCAAGTCTGGTCATTTACGAACTAGTTCGGTTTCAGTCAGGAAATTCTGGTTGTAAACTAGTATTTTTCCTGAGTAGTTGGGGAAATGAATAAAATAACTCCACAAAAAATTTTGCCCTTAGACTTTTTTCAATAATCACCAAAAAAAGGTTTTCTTTAAAAAAAATCATTTTTTAATTCCGTATTTTAAAAATATTTTTTTTTTACTTTTAACTTATTCTTACTACTTTTTTTAAATTTCAAATATCACTAAAATAAATCTTCTCTGATTCCTGAAAGATATAAAGTGTTGATTGAAGAAAAGAATATTCTATGGTGAGCTTTGGAATGAATTTTCTTTAAAATGACACTGAAGATGATGGTGCAACGCCGAAACCGGTTTGTCTCTAAACATATTATACACCAACCCTGTCGGAAACAATAACCACCAAAAAGAAAAAAATTACCAATTCAAGTGAATCAAAATGTTCATACACACGAGTATGTAATATATTTACATAAATATTATTTTATATTAAGATATTTTAAGTAAAATTAAGAAACTATAACAAAACTGAAAATCCGGGAATAATTTTCTTTGTTAAAAACTTGAATGGCCTTATTCAGGTTTATAGAGCTCTTTAAAGTGACATTTTCATAAAATTTTCGGTTTATAAAACAGTTAAAGTCTTCTTTATTTTTTATGAATTTGGCTATAAACCTTTAATTCTTACCGGATGGGTATTTTTTCTATCAAATTTTATTAAAAACCCGATTAGATAAAAATTATTTCTTTTCCAAGAGCAGATACTTTGCGTGATTTTAATTTTGAAGTAATCTACCGCTGGAAAGGTAGGTTAGTCGTAGTACTTCCCAGAGAATACAATTATGGGAAATGTTTTGTCCTATGTTACTCGGTCAAACACCCGTTATATCTGTTAGTGGTATAACTTGGTATCTGCATAGTGTTTTTTATATCTGAGGAGGAAGTCTAACGAAAGCAACTTACCATCGCTCATTTGGACTTAAATACTTACCTACATACATACACAAACACATATGTATCCACGAATGGACTCACATGCCTACATTCATACATACACATAAATATGTTCATTAGGCAAGGGCGCCCTGATGTGATTGCCCTATGGGCATTTGAAATGCAACTGTCCACAAATTACAACAAATCCTCCCCCAGGATCGCAAAGAACACACAGAGATGAACAGAAGCAGGGCTGCTCGATAGTTGCGGACTGAGGGCTGAATACTGAAGGCTACGGATTTTGCTATACAACGCTCCCTGTTGCGGTTCGACTTAGTCATAAACTGCGAGCGAGTGCCCGCAGTGGATTGGTGATTTGTTTTTCCAACTGCTTAAAATTCTAAGCGAGTACAAAATTAAAACATGAAAATGCGAAATGAAAACATTTTCTATACTGCAGCGGCGTACAGTGGGAAGAAATGTATCGTTTTGAACAAAAGTTTGCTGATTACATAAATCTGAATGGGTAAAAAAAAAATTAAACACTCAGATTGGTTTTCACTATAACATTTCACTGCGATAAATTTGAATTTTTATAATATAACTTAGAAAACTCAAGGGCTTAAGACTTGAGTGTGATATATTGCGAATTCGCAAACTGGACGAGTAAAAATTATTTATCCTTCTTCTATCTTCAATAATTAACTTGTACAATTTGCAAATTTGCAATACGAAGTGAAATGAACATTTTTTACATCGATTAAGATTTGAATAGTCAGCGGACTATTGTCCAAAACGATACATTTCTCCCCACTGTGCGCCGGCGGCGGCGACATGGCAAAGGAGCGTAATACGGGGAATGAATGAGGTGAAAAGAGGGCGAATGTCGATGGATATTGCGGTGGATGTGGATGAAGCTCTAAGCTGTGTTGCAAATACTCACTTAGTCACTCGAATGGTCTGTCAAGTCCATACTATACATACATATGTTCAGCAACCCCTTTGGCAAGCGATGTGGCACGCAAACAACAACAACACACACACGCAAATGCAAACAGCACAAACATATGTATGTATGTGAACACGTGGCATTTCGTTGCAAATACAATACATATATATCTACTTTGTACATGTTGCTGTATGTGTTTAAGAGCAACAACGCCGAAAATAATCCAACAAATCCATCAAAGTAATTGCGAAAATTCGCAAAAGAAAAACATCATAGAAAAAAAAATAAAAACAAATTGAAAAGGATTCCATCAATGCGGCACAAAACAAAAAGGGGATTTGGCTATCTATTTATTTTATCTTGTTGCAGATGCATGTAAACATGTGTTGCCATAATCGTACATACATATGTAGTTAGTAATAATGTTACATATATATATGTATATAACTTTGTTTATCAATAAAGTGATTTTCTTTGTACTTACCTTAGCCCAGCAAGCGCGGCGGCAGGCCAAGCGTCGCCTATGTTCGCGCGTCTCCGCCGAATTTGGTATTTTCAACGCCTTCGCCAAGCGCTGACTTTCAGATGGCTCGTCCACAATTGGACTGCAATTCGCTACATTGGCACAGAAAGCGCTCAGCATTATTAAGAGCAACATTGTCATGAGTGGCCTCAGCCGTAGGCTCGCTGAAGAGGCTGCACTTGTGGCAGCTTTTTGAGACATGTTTAAAATGTTTTTGTTTTTTTTTTATTTTGTTGAATAATTTGATTGTTTTCTATTCGAATGCGGATTTGGTTTAAATTTCGACCCGGAATTTTTTTATATATTTCTTTGTTAAATAATACTGAATTGTTTTTGCTGTATGTATTTTATTTCATCTGGAAATAAGTACCACAATTTTTATTAAAATTAATAATATGATTTGGAGATTAATTATTAAGCTCGGCGTTTATGGTTGCAGTTAGAATAAATCCTTAACTTTAAAAAAGTTTGTATTTATATTTGAGAAATCGGCCTAAACTTGTCAAGCTTACATATGAAAATCTATTTTTAACTAAAAATTTACCAGCCTTCTTCTTTTTGTGGCAGATTTGAGGATTTACAAACGTAGAATATACATATTTAACCATATTTTAGACCCTCTATATGTAATTTTCAGAAATTTCTGGTGTTGTCATCTTCCTAAATTGCAAACCCACTAACTTGATATTTTTACTATTAAAAACTTCTAATTTGATACTACATACATATGTACATACATTGAAGTATCATTTGTATAAATTTACTGCATACCAAACTCATAGTTTCTTCTATTTTTCTGTTAAGTTAATATTTTTAATATTTAATTTTTTTTATACTTCATTGCATTCTTTTATTTCATTTTTATTTAATTTTTGAATGTATTTTATTTCGGTTTGTTTTATTTCTTAATAAATTTTTTATATGTATTTAAAAATTGTATTGATTTTATTTTTTCTTTATTTTTTTTTGCTTTTATTGCTTACATTTCATATCGTAGGTAAACACAAATTGAAAGTATCTATTGTACAAAATGTTTACAATTCAAATGAATAGTTCGAAATTATATACTTTTTCCAATTTGTGATCTGTAAAAAAAAAATTTTTATTTTTTTTTTCTGTATAGAAGTTATAAAATCTTTCAACTAAGTATTCAGACTCAAACGAGCTTTTCCAATTATAATTCATATAATTTTCCATATGGAAGTTACACATACATATGTATGTATGTATGTATGTATATGTATGTATGTACCCCTCTGCCTATTCTCAGCTATTGTTTGCCAATTAAAGTGTTAAAATCTATTAAGTAACATTTCGGTAAACTATTTCTATGTAGTTGTTGTCTCAAAAGTAATGTAAATAAGTCATTTCATTGTTTTCATTACTGTTTATGTTTATTCACGAAATCGATTTTGCATATCCGACTGCTGCCCCGTTTGCCCTCGCATCGGGTGTAAAGTACAACAACAAAAAACACGTTTGGCGCTCACTGACCTCTAAAACAACAACAACAATGCCAATGGAGCCCAGCTGAACACGAACGGTGTCACGCTTTGATCGCAGTTTAATCGACCGCTTCAAAACGTGATTTTTTCGCAAATACACACACACACACACCTCTTTAAACTTTTTGCAATTGGCAATTTGCAAAAGCCAAGCATTGGCTGAGCAAAAAATTAATGCACAATAATATCTATCTTTTCTTTCAATCCAGCAGCAGTAATGACCAAAACACCGACGGCTTTGCGACTCGCTCACACGCACTACAACTACTATCGATACAACCGAAACCTCGGGGAGTCTACACTAAACTGTGTTTTGCAGAAATTTTCTACAAAATCGACACGAAAGCACCGAAGTCCAGACGTCAACAGCGCTGCCATCGTCGTGCAACATCGTTGGATATATACGTACGTACTATATCGTGCGAGTCATGAAGCGAGGCAGTTTCAACAACAAAAAATATATTCAACTCCTCTGCATAAGCAGCCAGTGAGCCAAGCCAGAGACCAGAGCCATCCCGGGCAGGCTAGCAGGCGAACCCGAATCTACAAACAATGCAACCACCACAAGAAGATGCTTATAGAGCCCAGCCACACTAATTGGATTACTTTGTGGAGAGTAGGAGAGCAGCGAAAGCCACACTCATGCCATGCCGGCGCTGCTGGCGACGCAGGCAGCAAATAAAACGTCTATGTCACACAGAGCAGAGCAGCCCACAGGCGCACAACCATCTTTTGGCTGCATGCCGCCTCATTTTAAAGCCGCTGCTGTAGCGCGGCTAACCTTCGCTGAGGTTAAACCAGTGAGCAGCTGACTGCCAAGCAGGAAAAGTCAGCGCTCCTAGAAAATAGTCACGATTACAGCCATTGGTAAACAGCGACTTGCTGCAGGCTGCAAACGAAATTCTCCACTTGCAACATCTGCACTGTGGCCCCTTTTGCAGTTGGCAGTTGGCCACTGCATGGAAAGTACGCAAGCGCATAGCCAACTTACAAACATGTTGCAGGAGCATTGTGATGCGGTGGGGCTATCGAACCGCTTGACCCCTGCAGCGATTTCGAAGTTCATACCAACCTGTTGGGGCTTAGTTGGGAGCGAATTTGTTGTGTTGTGGTGTTGGCGCAGCGCACACGAATTGTGTTAGACGGTTGCAACAGCTGTTGCTTCTTACGGCACTGTTGTTGCTAGGCATTGTCGCTTCAGGTTTGATGTTATGTTGGGGGCTGCTTGGTGGTGGCAAGCATTCATATATGTGTTGGTGGTGGTGGTGGTGGCTAGCTGAAGTTGTGTTAGTGCACGCATTGGCCGCTGTGTGTCGCTGACAGCAGCCGGTAAAACTTCTAGTTGGGAAGCTAGATTGTATTAGCTTATGTACATAAATATGTTTACATAAATTCTCTTTTATATTTGAAACTAAATATAGCCACTAAATATTATCACTTGAGCACTGATGGACTTGGGCGAGCCTCAGATATTGACCAAAAATTTTAATCTTACACACAGATTTTTTTAGAGCATAATGAGCCATATTTTTGCTATTACCAAACAAAATTCTAAAAAAAGCAGATTTCCGGCCCACGCTAATACATATGTATGCTTTGATTAAAGCCAGATTGTAACGGGTGATTTTTTTGAGGTTAGGATTTTCATGCATTAGTATTTGACAGATCACGTGGGATTTCAGACATGGTGTCAAAGAGAAAGACCAAGTGAGCAAACAATTAATGCGATTGTGACCAAGTTTCGCACTCAGTTTACTTTATTGGACATTAAACCAACCACACCAATGCGTACAGTGCGTACAGAAGAGAATATTGCGTCTGTTTCTGAGAGTGTTGCTGAAGACCGTGAAATGTCGATTCGTCGCCGTTCGCAGCAATTGGGTTTGTGTTATTCGACCACATGGAAGATTTTACGCAAAGATCTTGGTGTAAAACCGTATAAAATACAGCTCGTGCAAGAACTGAAGCCGAACGATCTGCCACAACGTCGAATTTTCAGTGAATGGGCCCTAGAAAAGTTGGCAGAAAATCCGCTTTTTTATCGACAAATTTTGTTCAGCGATGAGGCTCATTTCTGGTTGAATGGCTTCGTAAATAAGCAAAATTGCCGCATTTGGAGTGAAGAGCAACCAGAAGCCGTTCAAGAACTGCCCATGCATCCCGAAAAATGCACTGTTTGGTGTGGTTTGTACGCTGGTGGAATCATTGGACCGTATTTTTTCAAAGATGCTGTTGGACGCAACGTTACGGTGAATGGCGATCGCTATCGTTCGATGCTAACAAACTTTTTGTTGCCAAAAATGGAAGAACTGAACTTGGTTGACATGTGGTTTCAACAAGATGGCGCTACATGCCACACAGCTCGCGATTCTATGGCCATTTTGAGGGAAAACTTCGGAGAACAATTCATCTCAAGAAATGGACCGGTAAGTTGGCCACCAAGATCATGCGATTTGACGCCTTTAGACTATTTTTTGTGGGGCTACGTCAAGTCTAAAGTCTACAGAAATAAGCCAGCAACTATTCCAGCTTTGGAAGACAACATTTCCGAAGAAATTCGGGCTATTCCGGCCGAAATGCTCGAAAAAGTTGCCCAAAATTGGACTTTCCGAATGGACCACCTAAGACGCAGCCGCGGTCAACATTTAAATGAAATTATCTTCAAAAAGTAAATGTCATGGACCAATCTAACGTTTCAAATAAAGAACCGATGAGATTTTGCAAATTTTATGCGTTTTTTTTAAAAAAAAAGTTATCAAGCTCTTAAAAAATCACCCGTTATTACAGAAATCCATAAATATGCGCCACCATTGGGCTATAGGCACCAGCATATACAACTTTTCTTTCTTAACTGGAAGAATTGCATATTTCCGAACTGTTGGAGAGCATCAACTTGTAAACCTCTGATTTATAATGAAAGTGGAGATATCGAGATTTCCATTAGAATTTTAGTGAACTTTAAGAAAATTCCATCATCGCTTAACAAAAGAAGTATTTTTGCGTTCACCTGATAGTTCGACCATTATCCCGCCAAACTATCATTTGTGCCTAGCGAATCTGTTAGCAGTGTTGCCACAACTTTTTCAGAGAAAAGGCTAAATGGGCAAAAAGTAAAGCTTTTTTTAGCTAGATCAAAATTTTAGTTATGTCAAAGGAAAATAGCGAAATTAACAAATTAAATATTTTTGCATTCTTGTAAGGGATAACTTATTTTGTACTTAAGAAAATATTTTCCGTAGCCTCACAGAATCTAGGCAGCTTAAACCAAAGTTTTCATTCCACCTCATTGTTCTGTAAGCAGTGACGCTTCTGTGTGATATTTAGCCCCATCGCGTGAAACCAATGCTTTACTATCCTCACAATAAACTTAGCAAAGAGAAAGTACTCCTACTCTTTACCCGGTGATCACAACTCGGGGATACTTTTCGGCGGAACTTTTCCGCAACGCGATCCCTGCAATATGAATTTGGGCTGGTACCCAAATGAGTCTCACATATTAGACGGGTATATTTTTTAAATGAGAGCTCGCTGAAGTAGAATATCAGGACAGCATTTGCAGTTAAAATTTGAAAATTTTGAGCAAAAGTAAGAAGCTAATTAATTTTAAGAAAAAGCTAAGAAAAAATCCCAGGAGCTAAACCAGATTTTCCGGCTAAACCCAAATAAACAAAGCTAAAAGTAGCTGGAAAATAGCTCAAATGGCAACACTATCTGTAATTAGGATGCAGTACTCAGCCAGAAATGATCGCTTCTCCAGACGAGTTTCGATTTTGTTGGATAAAATTTACTTTCTCCCAAAACATGTTGCCCTTCCCGGTGCAAAATAAGTTTGATGTTACAATCAACCCTTTAAAAAGTCATGCTTGAGCCTCCTTGTGTAGCTCAAGGATTTCATAATATTTTCGTTTTAAACAATCATCTGATTTTCAGGGCGACGATCAACAAAGTTTCACAGGGCAGAGAATTTGGCTTTTTTGCCTTACAAGAGTGTGACATTTTATGAAATGAACACACAATTTTCTCACCTTTGCTTTTAATTTGGGATCGAACAGGAAATGAGAAAGGGGCAATCAAAAAATCATTCTCCACATTTCTTCTTGGCTAAGTGCAGAATAGAGCATATACGAAATTTCAGCGAATTTGTAGTACGGTTACTACTTTTAGCCGCAGCTTATATGGGCACGTTCCACTGTGCGCCGGCACGGTTAGATATTAATTGATTTCAAAATTAAAAATACGGGTCTGCTTATTTTCCATTTTCTATAAATTTTGGACCCCCCTAATAAATACAAACATGAGTTCAACAATAACTGGTATTGTCCCCATAAGCAGTAAATTCATTATTAACAACAGATTTTTTGACGATAAGTCCCAAGAAAATAAATAACAGATCACTAAAATCGAGTCATTGAGCGCATTGTTCCAAATCTATAACAGAGATGAAATCTATCTGGCATTGTTCAATGGCGGTTAAGCGATATAAACACGTACGAATATGTACATATCGCACACCGTCTTCAAAAGAGTCACAACTCAAAATAATACGTTTGTCAGAAAATGCGAAAAACTATTTCTTAGCAAATGATAATCAAATGGCTAAGGCGACTTTACCTTAGGTTTTTTTTTAACAAATTATAACGAAAATTTGCTCCAGCTTTTGCTGAAAGCTAAACAAAAGCTCTGTGTACATTTTTAGCGCATAATCTCAAAAATGCCAAATTTTGAGTTGTGACACTTTTGAAGACGGTGTGCGATATGTAAATATGTATGTATGTACGTACAAAATTAAAAGAAATCAGCTTAAAATGCAAATTAAAGAAATTAACAAAAAAATGTTTGATCAGATTTATAGAAATAGCCAATTTTTAAATGGAATTCCCACAAAACAAAAATCAAAAGTGAGACATGTGAAGCTGGAAATTCGAAGCAAATTACTTAAAATTAAAACTTTGTCATAAAATTTAAAAGACAATAGCCACAAACAAAGGCTATATGGCTATAAGAAAAGAGTCGACAAAATGTATTTACATATGTATACTTAACAGTGTCAACAAGCGCAGCAATAAATCTTTAGAAAATAAAAAATGTACGTGAAATTAATCAAGACTGTTCAAAATGGATTGGCTGGCAGTTACGATAGCCAGGCTAAAAGAGCTAATGATGAAGCTATGGCTGCATAGATATATTGGAAGTGAATTTGAAATGAAAACATTTATCTCTTAACAGCAACTACATATGTACGTATGTATGTATGTTCAATTGTGCGTAAATACATATTTACATATACATAGATATATAATCTGCGCCACCTAAAA